TTGGTGTCTTCCAAACATATAATGTTGGTAAACGCCTCATTTTATCAAAGCTCAATGTAAATATGAGACAACTTTTCTTCATAATGTTTTCCTCATGTTACTTGATTTGAACAATAGTGTTGAATATAGAGAAAATATGGTTTGGAATTAATTTCCCTTGTGTATAAATCACACATAGGGTAGTCTATTTATAGTAGAGATATACAACTAAAAGAGTAACTGAAAGTAACAGAATAAACAGAAGATATTGTTTGATATTGTGGTTACCAATATCTAACAATATCTTAACAATATCAAATAATATATAAACAATATCTAACACTCCCCTCAAGCTGGAGCATACAAATCGTATGTGCCAAGCTTGTTACAAATATAATCAATTCTAGGACCCCGTAAAGATTTAGTAAAAATATCTCGCTAACTGATCACTTGAGTTAACAAACTCAGCCTTGATATCTCCAGACATAATCTTTTCTCGAATAAAATGACAGATCAATCTCAATGTGTTTGGTCCTCTCATGAAAGACAGGATTAGAACTAATATGAAGAGCGACTCGATTGTCACACACAAGTGTCATTTGAGTGACATCTCCAAATTGTAACTCTCTAAGCAATTGCTTGAGCCAAACAAGTTCACAGGAAGCCGAGGCCATAGCTCTATATTCTCGCTTCTGCACTGGATCTTGCCACAACACTTTGTTTCTTACTTTTCCATGAAATCAAGTTACCACCAATGGAGACACAATATCCAGATGTAGATCTTCTATCCGAAGGAGATCCCGCCCAATCGACATCTCGAGTAGCAAACAACTCTTGTATGGTTATTAGAAGCATATAACAATCCTTTTCCAGGAGATCCTTTAATATACTTCAAGATACGAATGACCGCATTCCAATGATCTTCACATGGTGAATTAAGAAATTGACTTACCACACCGATCGCAAAGGAAATGTCGGACGAGTAACTCGTAAGATAATTCAATTTTCCAACCAATCTTCTATACTCGCTCAGGATCGATATAGGCTCCCCCGATTTGGTAGAAGTTTAGTATTGGGATCCATGGGTGTATCAACATACTTTGAACTCATCAACCCAGCTTCCTCCAAAATATCTATGGCATACTTCCTCCGAGATATAACAATACCATCATTGGACCGTGCTACCTCAATACCCAAGAAATATCTAAGTTTGCCAAGATCTTTGGTCCGAAAATGGTGACAAAGATGTTGTTTCAACCGAGAGATGCCATGGTTGTCACTACCTGTAAGAACAATATCATCAACATATACTATCAAGTAAACACATCCAAGCACTCGAGTGTCGATAAAAGACAGAATGATCCGATTCACACCGAGTCATACCAAATTGTTGAACAACCTTGCTAAACTTTCCAAACCAAGCCCTAGGAGACTGTTTTAGGCCATATAGGGATTTGCGAAGACGACATACCATCCCGTAAGACTCCCCCGAGCAACAAACCCAGGAGGTTGCTCCATATATATTTCTTCTTGCAAATCACCATTGAGGAAAGCATTTTTAACATCCAGTTGATAAAGAGGCCATTGTTGAAGAGCAACCATGGCGATAAATAAACGAACGTAAGCCATCTTTGCCACAGGGGAAAAGGTATCTCCATAATCCAACCCAAAAATTTGAGTATAACCTTTGGCCACAAGACGAGCTTTGAGGCGATCAATAGTACCATCAGGTCCAACTTTGATAGCAAACACCCACCTGCAACCAACAACAGATTTCCCAGACGTAACGGGACCAATTCCCAAGTTCCACTATTATGAAGAGCACTTAGTTCATCTAACATGGCCTCGACGCCAACCAGGATGGGCTAAAGCTTCACGGACAGTTTTTGGAATGGTCACAGAAGAAATAGAGGAAAGACATGTATAAAAAGGTAATGACAGTCGATGATAACTCAAAGCAATATAATGGGGAGAGGGATTACGTGTAGAACGAATACCTTTTCGGAGGGCAATGGGAAGGTCAGACTCATGTGTCAGATCCGGAGGAGACAGAGTAGTTGGCACTTGAGTAGAGTCACATGGTGGTGGTTGTGATTGGTTTCGAGAACTATAAATCAAGAGGCAAGTGGAGAAGAAGCTAATCATGCGGAGCAATGTGAACTAATGAGGGTCACAAACAACAGTGAACATTAAATGTATTAGGAGTGTTGACAAGATTGGATGGAGACAGAGGTGAAGTTTGACTTTTAAAATAAAGAGACAACTCATCAAAGGTGACATCTTTTGACACAAAATAACGGTAAGAGAAGGAGAAAAACATTTGTATCCTTTTTGTGATCTTGTAAACCCTAAGAAAACACATTTATGTGATCTAGGAGAAAGCTTGTCCAGACCAGAACTGAAATTATGAACAAAACATGTAGACCCGAAAACTTTCAGAGGTAAAGGATGAAGTGGTTCATGAGGGAATAAAATGGAATGAGGTATTTTATTATCTAAAACCGAAGAAGGCATGCGATTAATGAGATAACATGCAGTAAGAAGAGCATCACCCCAAAAATGTTGAGGAACATCTCCATGAATTAAAAGTGTGCGAGTTATTTCAATAAGATGTCTATTTTTACGTTCAACTACACCATTTTGTTGAGGTGTATAAGCACAAGAAGTTTGATGCAAAATACCGTGAGAAGCCATGAATTGTTTAAAAGAATGAGAAAGATATTCACTGGCCATTATCACTACGCAAAACTCTAATAGAAACACCGAACCGAGTTTGAATTTCATTAAAAAAAGTTTGAAAGATATGAAATAATTCGTAACGATTTTTCATCAAAAATAACCAAGTGCATCTCGGAATAATCATCAATGAAAGTAACAAAGTATTGAAAACCTAAAGTAGACTTAACGCGGCTAGGTCCCCAAATATCGAGTGAACCACTGCAAAAGGGGACGAAGCACCACGTGTGAAACTACGAGGAAAGGAAGTACGACTATGCTTGCCTAATCGACATGACTCACACGCCAAACTAGATAAGTTAGACAAGGCAGGGACAAGTTTCGTAACTTGGCAAGACTTGGATGACCTAACCGAGCATGAAGAAGAGAGGGAGACTCCATAACCGTACTAACATGTGTAGAGGGACTGGAGATAATAAAGACCATGAGACTCACATCCCGTGCCAATCACCTGTTTCGAACTCCGGTCCCGTAAACACACCGAATTGTTGGTAAAAGTAACAACACAATCAAGAGAACGAGTTAGACGATCGATGGACAACAAGTTAAAAGGAGACCCAGTGGACATAAAGAACATTATCAATGGTTAAAGAAGGAAAAAGTTTAACCGTTCCAACACCATGAGATGATACTCTAGAGCCATCACCAAGTGTAACGTAAGGTAAATGATTAGGAGAGGATAAAGAGGAGAACAAAGATTTGTTACCAGTAATATGATCAAGTGGCTCCCGAATCAAAAACCCAAGGACCAGGAGAAAATGATTGGGTCGACCAAGCAAAATATGTATTTGTATGTGTGACAGATATAGTGGAACTAGAAGACCGTTGATCCTTATACCATTCGAGAAATTTGTTGAACATAGCAGTACATGTCTGGATGCAACGAAGAAGGAAGATCCCCTACGGATAAAGGTGGGGAAAGATTGGTCCGAACAACTACAGACAGATCGAGGAGGACGACCATGTAATGTATAACACTTGTTAATCTTGTGACCTAGCTTGCCACAATGTTCACACTTAGGACGCCCTTTTTCCCGTTTGCGAGGGCGAGCCCGGTCATCACGATGGGATGTCAACACAAAAGAATCGTTAACAAAATTGGAAATAGTGGAAGAAGTCATGAAGAGCGGGAGAACAAACCCCGACCGAGACAAGCAAAATCATATGTCACCGGTAAAAAAAAATGAAACTCCGGCGAATTCTCCGACAATGGCGGACCGGAGATCTGCTCCAGCGGCAATGGTGATGTGAACGTGAACTAGTACACTAGGTAAGTTCCCAGGAAAGAGAGGTGGGTCACTAATGGACACACTTAAATACCAAGTCTTTCTTTGTCGAACTTTCCTAAACATGCACTTTCACACTACCAAATAAAATTCAATGACAAAGATAATTCTTTCTCGATGTGGAGGATCAGCTTACTGCAGCAGTGGGGCGGCTTTAGCAATGGTGGGGAGGCTCTAGCAACGGTGGGCGGCTCCAACAATGGACAAAAGGCGGAAAAAAAAAAATTCAAGAGAACCTTAAGCTCTAGATACCATGCTGAATATAGAGAAAATATGGTTTGGAATTAATTTCCCTTGTGTATAAATCACACATAGGGTAGTCTATTTATAGTAGAGATATACAACTAAAAGAGTAACTGAAAGTAACAGAATAAACAGAAGATATTGTTTGATATTGTGGTTACCAATATCTAACAATATCTTAACAATATCAAATAATATATAAACAATATCTAACAAATAGCAATATTAGCTCTCAATGGTAGAACTTGCTTATCTTGATTTACATATTTTATCATAAAGTCAAAAGAGTTTAAACATTGTCTTGTTTTAAAAACCCATGTGATTATTTTTCCAAACAAATTGATGAACAACCAAAATAACATTATTTCTTAAAGTCATTGCCTATATTTAAATTCTTTTCTCAATTTTTTCAGACAACAGAATAATGCTCTAGATATCACTATTAAATGAAGATAGCTTTAACCATAAAAATATAAAACAAAATTATAACATAAAAAATGAAGAGTGGGGAGGAAAAATAAAACAATTTTCTTAATTGTTGTTGAACCATACTGTATCTCATACTCTTAAATCTTTTTTAAGACCAAATACATGAAAAATGTTAGTCCATCATGTACTCTCTGACCAAAATCAGAATAAATTTATGACTAAACAATACTACTATCACAAGTAAACTAATTGAAATAAATAAACATAATAACAAAAAAAAAAGAACAATTTTATAACCTATAAATTTAACAAAGACCTTGGAGGTAATTATTTCCCAAAGCCAATAGCAACCTTTCTCCTCTTGTTGTTCTTTATCGTTTCAGGGCTTGGGAGTCCAGTCATTTCCTCATACTTTGTTTCTAGGGCCTATAATAATTTAACCAAAAACGAAATAAACTAAAAATATGTAAAAATGTTATTGCATGTCATAATATATCTTTCCTGGCATATTTGTTGGTAGATCATTATCAAATCTTCAACAACTAAAATATACAAATAGCTAAATATTAAATAAATTTAAAAATAAATTGAATAAAAGAATCTATGTTGTAGTTATTCTAAACACAGTTTCAACAAATCTTCTCTTCATCTCAATAGCTTTAAACACCTAATGGTAATATCTCCTATCTAGATCTTCTCTCAAATAAAGTGGTAGTCTAATTGAATGTCTTTAGTCTTCTCATGAACATTGGACTAGACACACTATCCAAAACTGTTAGACTATCACAACTAAGCGTCGTTTGCATAGTTTCTTGAATTTTGAGTTCCCCGATGACTTTAGTCTTCTCATGAACATTGGACTAGACACACTATCCGAAATGTTGGACTATCACAACTAAGCGTCGTTTGCATAGTTTCTTGAATTTTGAGTTCCCCGATGACTTCAACCAAATGAGTTCGCTAGGAGCTCTACTACCATGGTCCTATATTCAACTTTCGCAAGATCTTGTAAGTCCATTTTGCTTTTCACTCTTCCAAGATATGAGGTTTCCTTCTACCATTATACAATACTACTCGGAGGTGGATCGCGGTCATTGAGTGAATCAACCTATTCAACATATTAATAGCCAACAATCTGAGCATGTCCTCTATGCTCATAGACAACTCCTTTTGAGGAGCACCTTTGATGTACTTCAAGATTTGTATCCCTACATCACAATGATCATGGCAAGAAGAGTCCAAGAATCGACTCACCACATTGGCTACAACAATAATGTCTAGACAAATGACACTGAAGTAATTTAGTTTCTCAGCCAAACTTCGATACCATTTAATATCCAATAAGGGCAAATCCTGATTGAATAGAAGTTTGACAATAGGGTCCATAACCATATCATTTAATAAGCTACTTTCCTTTAGAATGCCAAGGAATATTTCCATTGAGATATCACAAAACTATCTTTGTGTTAAGCTTACTCCAATGCCTAAGAAATACCAAAGTTTTTCACGGTGATTAGATTGGAATTGGCATGACAGGTATTGCTTCATCTGGATTGTGCCATAATCATAAATAGTAACGATATCTTCTACGTATATACAATGATGAGAACTTGTAAGGTTTCGTATATCTCTTAATATATCTCATATGGATATATCTTTTATTTATTTATATATATATATATATAAATAAAAATATGACAAAATATCAAATATTAATACTATCTCAATCATAACTACTTAAATTAAAATAATAACTTAATATATTTTTCTCTTAAGATAATAAAAATTTATTAATACCTAATTTAAATAAAAGATAATAAAGTAATATTTCCAACATTCATCCTTATTTTAATATCTGTTTATTTGAATTTAATATTTTTATTTTTATTTTGCTTGAAATTATTTCTCCTTCTTGCTTGTACTTTTTGTCATCATCCTTCTTGTATGATATTACATCTTCATTCCATTTAACTTTCTTCCTCAATATATTTCGTCCTTTATCAACTTCATCTCTTTTATTTTTTTCAAACTTAATAGTAGTACCGCTGACCCTTTGATGGATGTTGGAAACTATTATTTCTTCTACATTTTTATTTTCCTCCTTAACATTAATTTTCTTCAAGAAATATCTATCATGTTTTTCCTTTGACTTTTCTTTTATATCTTCATTTGTAGTCAAATATTTTTTTATCAAATCTAAATAAATTTTTCCTTTCATGTGAACTTTGAATATTTCCATGTTATCTTCATTTGTAGTCAAATCTTCTTTTATCAAATCTAAATTAAAACTTTGTCCTTTCATGTAAACTTTAAATATTTTCATGTTATTTGCATCTTTAATCACACAATTTGTGTTCAAAAGACACCTTATAACTTTTTTCCAATAATTGAGCAATACTTAGTAAATTTTGGTTAATATCAGGAACATATAAAACATCAAGAATTAATTTGATACCCTCACGACTTTTAATTGCAATTGTTCACATGCTTTTCACATTCATTTGTTCTCCATTGCCAATTCTCACTTTATAAATAACAAATTTACTGAGCTCTTCAAAATGTTTTCGATCATAAATCATATGATTTGTATAACTATTATCTATAAGCCAACAAGTAGATTTGTTGATTGTAAAATATATTGATACAAATAGTTAACATAACCCCAAAATTTGGGGGGTTAACAACATAGCGAAGAAGCATTGGTAGTATTAGGAGTGTTCAAAATTGAACCAATCCAAACATAAAACAAAAAATCGATAAAAAAAAAATAGAAAATTGAATTTTTTTGGATTGAAAATTTTTAAAATTGATTAATTCGGTTTGACAATTGGGAACCAACCTAAAATATTAGACATTTATTGTGATGATCTAATTAGTTTCTTATAATATTAGACATGTAATGTAATGTTATGCTTTAAATTGAATATGAAAGCATTTGAAACAAATTGAAACTATGAATTTCACAATTAATTATGCTTGATACTTTTATTATATTTGAACAATTATTATATTATAATATGTTTAACAATTTTATAATAAAAAATCGTAAAAATTGTCCAAATCACACCCCAAGCACCCCTAGGTAGTGTGAACAATATGTCGATTTTTGCATTCAATAACTACATTTTACATCGAGGGGTGTGAGAAAATGAGGTTTCGTTGGAAGTTATAAATGTTAGGAACTAATAGGACATTGGCATTGTCACTCTGAATATAGCATATAGGAAAACTAATTGAGTTTATATATCATTATGAAACCACCTAAAGAGGGAACATAACTCATACTTATGTTTCATTAAGCATAGCCTAGTTCAACGTGTATAATCATAAATATGACAAAATACGTAATAGAAGAGGGAATTACAACCCAAGAGGGATCGAAGACATTTGAATGGATTAAGAACGTAGCTCATTTATTGAAAGAGTCAGGAAATGAGTGACGTGTGTATTTTCCCAATTGGCATAACTCACTCTAATGCAAACAACTAAAAGACACTTGGCATCACATTTGATGTTTAGGAGACCAGTATGTCCCAATTGAGCATGTGTGGTAAGAGAAGATGCAACAACTTGTGGTGGAACGAAGATAATAGAGAGCATGAGATTCATCACAGAAGCGAGAATGAACGTGATTCAACTGCTTTGAAGCATTGAAGGAAGAGAACTTGATCCATTATTATGTGAAATTTTCAACGTAAGTGGAGTGGTGAACAGCATGAAGTAGTGAAAGGCAATGCATTTTTTTTTTTTAAAAAGCTTTGTTTTTAATCTATCACATAGACAGATTGTTCAAATTTTTAACACGTTTTTTTTTTTAATCAAGTGCCAGTTCTCACTGACTATTTTAACTTCATCCACACCCACCCAACAAATTTAACCGAATTTTTATTTTATTAATACCCAATATTCAACTTGATTCATCCGAACCACTTATTCTAAAAACGGCAGCCTTATCTCCAACAAGAAGATATACTATTTTCAAGATTTGAACCTGACATCCAAGTCACAAGTTATCACAGCTTTCCCAAGGCTCACCTTCTGCCATGAAGTTTTTTCTTCTTAATCTTTTGAAAAAAGGTAAAGTTTTGGTACAAAGAGAAATTATATTTTTAGTTTTGATTACTGAGGACCTAGTCACCTTCAAACTTATAGTAAGTGTATGACAAAATATAACTAAATACCTCAAATCATGATATAACCTCGCCTAGCTTATTTATTTATGAAATAAATGTCTTTTGAGGATGTATTCTAAAATCAAGGGAAGATATACAAATGACATGACAGAGTGACAAAATAAGGAAGGATTTTCTAACCTGTAATTGTCCCCGAATACTATCAAGAACATCTTCACTCATTCTGTCAAAGAAAAGAATTCCCTGTAAACACAACGATAATATTAAGTATATAGTGAGTGACCATCAGGTCATTAAATAAAATTAGTTTAAAGAGTTCAACTTGGAACTAACTTTGCCATACAATCAAGTGAAGATATGAATAAAAGATGTTGAGAATCAAGAATAAATAAGAAAAAAATATATTCTACATTTAATATATTATGATTTGACTGGATTTGATATTCAATTTAGAGGAAACTAAATATCCTCTAATAATGTGTAACTAATACAATCACTATATAAATTAGTCCCAAAAGTGTCGTTCAGCATATGATTTTAGCATAATGTCTCTAATTTCATTGATTAATATGGTATCCAGAGTCTGAGATAGAAACCTTCAAAATCATACCTACTAGGTGGACCCATGGTCCCCAGTGTCCAAATTTTTTTGTGAATTGTCTTTGTTTCAACCACTCGAACTTCTTAGTTTCATGACTTGTTTCCCTTCTCTAGCAAACTTTTTGGGCATCATCACGGTCATCACTTCTGTTTCCACAGCCCCTGACCTAGCAGACCCATTTATCCACTTGTCCTAGTTAGTGAAAGTTATAATTCTAATAATTGCATTAATATTGTTATTAATATCCTAATAGTATGCCATTATTTTGTCCGTGTAACATGCAATAATGTGCAACTATCATGATAAATTTCTTTCTTATATAGTTTTATTGTAATTACTATTAGTTTTATTATAGGATCACAATTGTACAACAATGTGTGTATATAAGCAAAATCTATAATATGAATAATCAAGTCATTTTCTACACATTTCTCTTTCTTGGTATCAGAGCCTAAAGCCAATATTCTCAATTTTTCACCATTGCCAACTAAGAGAGAATTCTTACCATTGCTTTTATTGAGATCTTAGAGTTTCTCAATTTGATGAGTCACATGATTGCTAGCTCCACTATCAAAATACCATTCATGGTCCTGGCCATGGTAGGGGAGGCTATGAAAACGCTGTGATCTTCTCTCTTGTTATTTTCAGCATCATGCTTTAAGCCTGTGTATGACTTATCATAGTGATAAAAACAATTCACTGCAGTATGACCAATCTTGTTACATACTTGACATATTGGTTTAGATCTACCTCTTCCTCCACCTCCTCCTCCTCTGAAGTTAGAACCCCTCTAGTTGCCTTGTGTCCCTGGTTTTTTGCCTTTGAAATTAGCTTTGCTTGCAAGGTTTGCTGAAGCATTTATTGAGAGCTTACTGACATTGTTCAGTTGCTCTATTCTGCTATCAAATGCCAATAGTTGGGCTTGTAGATCAACCCAACTAAGGTTGATTTGATAAGATGATTTGACAACCACAAGATTGTAATCAACATCTAGACCATTCAGTGTTTGGATCATCAATTTTGAGTTGGAGATTGGTGATCCTGCCAGCTTTAATTTGTTAGCAATGTTATTCATTTTGAGAAGATATTGATCCATCTTCATTTCTCCTTTGCAAGTGTCGGTTAGATACTATAATGCACCTATAGCCTGTATGTATAGTGTAGGGTTAGCAATAGGTTCTCCATCAACGGTGAATTGTTTTCCTGTTACCATTGGTGTCGAGAAGGATGGAGCTTTTTCCATATTAAACTTCTTGAACATGTCTCTAATGTAATTTGTTTGTTTCAGGTACACTCCACTTGTATCTCTGTTTACTTCAATTCCCAAGAAGTAGTGTAGACGACCTAACTCTTTAAGAGAAAAATAATGTTTAGTTGAGTAATGAAAGTCTCTAGACACTTATTGTTGCTACCTGTTATTATTATGTCATCAACATATATGAGAAGGAGTATGATATGGTCAGTTCCTCTAAGGATAAACCATGATGAATCACTTTTGATGTTTTGAAACCTCCATTCTAGTAGAGTATCCTTCAACTTGTCATACCAAGCCCTTCGGGCTCGCTTCAGGCCGTAAATTGCCTTGTTTAATTTGCATACATGATCAGGCTTGGTTGAATTTGTATATCTTTTAGGTTGATGCATAAACATAGTTTCTTTGAGATTGTCATTCAAGAATACATTGTTTATGTCTAATTGCCTAGCTTCCTAATTTAAATATATACAATATATAGGACAATTCTTACCGTACTGGGTTTGATCACTAGATTGAAGGTATCATTATAGTCCAGAACCACAGTCTGTTGAAAGCCCTTGGCAACCAATCTTGCTTTCCTTCTCTCAATTGAGTCATCTGCCTTGTACTTAGTTTTAAAGACCCATTTTGAGTGTTTGATGTTATTCTACCCTTGAAATGGTACCAATGTCCAAGTGTGATTAGTTGTTAGAGCTTTAAATTCTGCATCCATGGCTGCTTTCCATCTTGGACTGACTAGTGCTTCATTGACATTTTTTGGTTCCTTGTCTTCTGAGTGTCTCTCTATCAACACTATATAAGGCTATTTTAGCTTGTAGATCCCTGCCTTGCTTCTGGTTTGCATCCAGTGCGTGTTGTCTTGCTGGGTCTGTTAGTTATTGTCTTCTAGTGTGTCCTCTACTAGGCCTTCTATAGCTGGTGTTTCATTTGCATGTGAGATTGCCTCATCTGCATTGATAGAGTTATCACTAAGCACTGGTTGATTTTCATTGGTAGCTAAGTCATTGAGAGTTGGTTGATATTCATTGGAAGCTAAGTCACCTTCTTGATGGTTCACCTGACTGTTAGTTGATTCAAATGTGTGACTTGTAATGGTGTACCTGTAGGACAAGATGGAAGAACAATAGGTACTGTTCCAATTAGAGTTTTTCATGAATTTCTTGTGTCAAGAAAGCCATCATGGAATGGAAAGTGGTTCTCATAGAAGACCCCATGTCTTGAGACAAAAATTCATCCATGGGAATTGAGGAACTTATATCCTTTGTGAGATTTGCTATATCCCAAGAACACACTATATAGTGTGAAAATGATGTTTGTGTTGATTGTATGGTTTGAGGAAAGGATAACATGCATAACCAAAAGGCTTTAAGGTAGCATAATTAGGCTCTTTTCCAAATAATAATGAATATGGACTTTCATTTGGATTAACTGATGAAGACAATCTATTGATGAGATAAACTGAGGTAAAGAAAGCTTTCTACCAGTAGTGTAAAGGCATTTGGCCTGTGCCAATAGTATGAGCCCTAGTTCAGTCACATGTTTTCTTTATGCTCTACCATTTTGTTGAGAGGTATATGGACAAGCCATTCTAAATTGAATTCCTGACTCGATGGCTATTTTCTGAACAGGTTTATACTCACCTCCACCATCACATTGAAGAAATTTTATTTTCTTATTAAACTGGTTTTCAGCCATGCTTTTGAATTGAGTGAAAGCATGTATTGTTTTTTATTTTTGTTCTAAGGGAAAAAAAATCTAAGGAAATCTGCTGAAATCATAAATGAAATGAACACAATACTTAAAATTAGATGGAGACAAAATTGGGGCTGGTCCCATACATCACTATGAATCAATTCTAAAGGCTCTTTAGCATCAAAGGAAGAGGATTTAAATGGTAACAAATGAAGTTTTCCAAATTGACAAGCTTCACAAAATGAAAATTGATCACTTGATGAAGTCTTCACATTGTAATTCTTCAATACCTTTGGCAGAACTTTATTGTTGGGGTGTCTAAGCTTCCTAAGCCAATTCTCTTTGAGTGACATATAGATACATGGATCGTTATTGACTTGAGAGTTGACACTTGAAAGTTAGTATAATTCATCTCTAAGTTTCTCTTTTGGTAGTGTCTTTCCTGTTAGTTTGTCCTTCACATAATAGTAGTTTGCATCAAATTTAACAAGAACATTATTGTCAACAGTTAGTTTAGATACACTCAACAGGTTTTTGGTTATTTCTAAAACATATAGGAAATCCTTGGCAGGGCAGTGTATGTTCCTCAGAGAGAGATTAATCTTGTGGGCCTTAAGAAAACAAAAAAATGGTGCCATGGTCAAGTACTGAGTCAGAATATAGAGTTTTGGCTGACCTAGCAGCAAAAGTAGCTTGGATCATATCACTTCTAGGTGAGCTAAAACTTCCTATACCCAGAAAACCAGTTTTGTGGTGTGATAACTTGAGTACTAAGGTACTGACATCCAATCCAGTGATACATGCTCAGCCCAAACATATTGAGATAGATGTCCACTACATACGTGATCAATTGCTTCAAAATCAAATCACAATAGCCTATGTGCCCACAACAGATCGGATTACAGATTGCTTAACCAAACATCTCACACACACAAGGTTTAATATTTTGAGAGACAAACTTGGGATGATTAGAGGGAGTTAGAGAAAGTTATAATTATAATAATTGCATTAATATTTTGTTATTAGTATCCCTAATATTATGCAATTATTTTATCCATATAATATGCAATTATCATGATCAATTTATTTCTTATACAGTTTTATTATAATTACTGCTAGTTTTATTATAGGATCACAATTGTACAACAATGTGTGTATATAAACACAATCTGTAGTATGAATAATCAAGTCATTTTTTTACACATTTCACTTTCTATCCTTCCCTAAACTATCTTTGTTTCACCCTTTGGCTCAAACTTCTTAGTTTGATGACTTGTTTCGCTTTTCTAGCAAACTTTTTGGGCACCATCACAGTCAGCGACCTGTTTCTGCAGTTCCTCGAGTTAGCAAACCCATTGATCCACTTATCCTTCCATGTTCTATCTAGATTGAGGCAAAGCGTAACCATCAGAGCACTGACAAGCTTTCATGTGCGACTTTTCTCGCATGCCAAACAACACACTTCATCAGTGTCTTACCATTTCTTGCTATACTACCTTTGGAGTCTCATCCTTGCAAGAGGACAACAACAATTATAATTTTTGTTGACTTTTTTTTTTTTTTTCAGCTGTAGGTACTATTTTGTTTAGTGACTTATAAATAAGTGTTAAAAAATAAGGATGACACCCATATTTTCTACAATTTCCCACCAGTGCAAAAATTGGATGGTATAAATTACTCAATCTGGGCTTCTCATGTCTCTTTATGGATTAGTGGTTTGGCCTATAAAGAGCATCTCACTAGTACAACTGCCTCCACCACAATGGGAGATGATTGATGCCCAATGTAGTGTCATCAAATCCACTCTAAATCTTGCCCTAAAATCAATTGTTCGATCTCAAGTTACACATCGGAGGTGCGCTTTCTTTACACCAAAGCTCCTTAGTATCTGTTTTGGTTGGTCATGATTTGATGACCCTGATTTCCTCTAAGCACTTTGATGGACTATGCCTGAGTACATAGTTGTGTCATGCCACTCTACATGAGTATATTGAGCTATTGCCACCCTACCTCCACTCCAATAAAAAAAAAAGAAGAATTGCATAATTAGAGTGCGTTCTTTATAGTCCTTGCCCACTAAGGTCTATACCAAAGTACTGTATTTGTCCGTGACCAGATTTTTGGGTTAACCATGATGACTTCCTCCTCTTTCACGCTTCTTCTGCTTGAACCAAAATCTACTTGGTATACCAAGGCTCCTATGTTGGATAATACTTAAGATTAGAAATTAGAAAGGAGCTATATCTAGGTGATAGATACTAACAAGTAAAAACAAATTTTTAGCGCAAACAAGTTAACCTATATAAACAAGTTAAGCTATTCCAATAAGATAAATTATTCTAACACATATAACCACTCTGAAAGATGTACAAGTTGTTTTATTTGTTCTCATATACAACAATGACATGATGAGATATTTGTTGATATTTTCTTTACCTTCTTTCCTACCTATCTCTTTCAATCCACTATCTTTTGTCTTTATCTTTAAGTTGACTATTAATATTATTTTTAGAAAAAAATTATCAATAATTTAAAATAAATTTATATAAAAATTAAAATACATTTAAAATATACTCTATACATTAAAAGATATTATTCATTATGATTTTAATTATAATATAATCTATATATGTAAACATATTTAGTTCTTATTCTTTTTTATTATATAAAAAATAAGATGCACAAGCTAAAACACTAGTCGCTTTAGTTATCCAAGTTCAAAGCAGACCTGTAGATGATCAAATTCATGCTGGAAAATTCGTGCAGGAAGGCCAGACAAGTTGACTGAAAACCTTGTTCCATTGACATCGTGTGCATCAATATTCACAGATGTTGGTCGCTAAACCACAATATGAGACACATGTAAGTAGGCATACGAGTAAATAAACATGAAACAAATGACAAGATGGCCATATTCCTGCCGTTGAGCACATGTTGAAAGCAACAAAAAGGAAAAAAACTATAGCTAAATACAAGACAGTTATAACTTTAGGGTATATAGCAACCTCCTGGCAGTAACAATGATTTGACGTCTATATGTATTATTATTTATTCTGTAAATAATGACAGGAGCATTTATATGTACTTATTACTCATTATTACAAAGATCCTATTGCATGATTTGTATATTCAATTTAAAAAATGTTATTATATATAATTGAGGAGAACATATTAATTCATGATTTGTCTAGCCTATTCCTAGGAAAGCAAATCAATATAATTAAAGATACAGAATAATTCCTGGTTCACATCCTTCCAAATTGATATGGTTGATCAAGAAGCATCAATTTACTAACAATAAACAAATTGGCTTAGGCGAGGAATCACCTTGATAAGAATATTCACAACTTAAAATTAAATATTGATTTGAGAATTGATATAACATGAGTATCATAACCCTCACTGATAGAATGACGATCTACTTTAATATGTTTGATTTGCTAATGAAACATTGGATTTGTAATGATGAGAATGGCATTGGTATTGGCAACATAAACAGGCATTGGAGTTGACTGAGAAAATTCAAGTTCAACCAAAAGACCACAAAGCCAAATTATTTCAAAACAAGGATTCGTGCTTGTTTTTACTTTACCATGTAATCTACGAGGAGCCAAGAAACATGCAGCAACCAATAACCGATCACCAAGTTTTAGGACACCTAACCCAATCAACATCACTATAAACAATAACTTTAAGACTAATTGGCATTCAGTGAAGTTGCCTAACAAATATATAAGCTGATACAATAAATTGAGCACACAACACCAGTAAATGGGAAAATCAAGCACTACGCACACTCCTACTGAAGCTCAGCATGATAAACAATGAAGTATAACCTATGTAATATTTTTCCTTCAAGAAAAAGATCAAATAGAAATACATAGTAGCGGTGAGATACTACGTAATATTTGGATTCTTGGAGTGCTACAAATGATTGTTGCTAATTGTATGCATTTTTTGATAGAAAATGGAAACAAGCCATAGATGAATTTAGAAATATAGGTGGAGAAAAATAACGCCTAGAAGTTAGTCATTTTACCAGGAAAAAATGTCAGTTCGGTGTACGTATTAAAAATAAAATACAGGATTGAGTTATAAGACAAGGTTAGTTTCCAATTGACCGAAATTTATGGAGTTGATTATCTCGAGACTTTTACTCTAGTTGTTAAATTTAACACAATTAGGGTCATTATCTCTCGTAGCCAATTGTGGTTGGGACATACAATAGTTTAATGTAAAACATACCTTTTTACATGGAGAACTTGAAGAAAACTATAGGGAGCTACCCAATGGATATATAGACAGGTTGCTGCCTCCAACCTTTGTAAGGTGAAAAAGGAATTATATGGGCTAAAACAGTCCTCTTGGTTTTGGTTTTGGTTTGGTAGGTTTACCGAAGTTATGCCAGGTTTGGGTAATAGACAAAGCCAGGGGATCGTACTTTGTTCACCACACATTCCACATCAGAGGGAGTAACCATGTTAGTGATGTACATGAATGACATTATACTGACAGCATTCGACGGGAGGAGCAGCAATTGTTAAGTCATCAATTGGCCAATGAATTTGAGATCAAAACCTTGAAAAAATTGAAATAACTTTTGGGAATTGAAGTATCTCACACCAAGGGATTTTTTTGTCTCAGCAGAAAATATATTACAGATTTACTTAAAGAAACAAGCAAGAGAGCTTGCAAACCTGCGCATGCCATTGGATCCAAGTAGGGATGGCAAAACGGGCCAGCCCGCCCCGTTTTGGCCCATCCCGCCTTTGGCCCGCTAAAAGCGGGGCGGGGCGGGCTGGCCCGATATAGTCATAACGGGCTATAGACCTTGGCCCGCCCCACCAAGGGGCGGGTTGGCGGGCTGGCGGGCTGGCCCGCCATAATTTAGAAAAAATAATTTTTTTTTAAATAATTTTTTTTAATAAATTTAATAATAAGATTATTATTTGTTTGTAAATAATTCAATATATATATATATATATTATTTCAATTTAATAATATAAATCAATACATTATTTTAAGAAATTATAATTTAGAACAATAATAAAATTTACATAATAATAAATAATAACAAATATATATATATATATAAATAACGTTAAACTTATAAAATTTATATTTTTTATATTGAAAAATTCAAATACCTATATCTTTTTTATTTGATAAAACTTCATATTATTTTTGGTTGAGTAATTCTTATACCTTTAATTCAAGTAATAAGGATAAATATAATCGAGTGCTTAGGATAAATAAGGAGAACAGGAGATAAGATTATATTTCGGGAAGGAGAATATTTTATGTGAGAATGAAACTTTTTTAATTCTCTTTTTAAAATTTTTAACTTTATATATTATCTTTATAATTAATTTTATTATAATAAAAAATTAGTTTTTTATTAATTAGGCGGGCCGCGGGCTGGCCCGCCCGTCCCGCGGGTTGGCTCGACGGGTTGGCGGGGCGGGGCGGGCCAAAGCGGGCTGGTGGGCTGAAAACACCAACCCGCCCCGCCATATTATGGCGGGCTGGCGGGCCAGCCCGCCGAGCCTAGCCCATTTTGCCATCCCCATCCAAGCCTAAAACTTGGAAATGAAAAAATATGTTGTAGACAAGGAGAGGTATCAATGACTTGTTAGGAAACTTATATATGTGTACCGCACTAGGCCAGACATTGCCTATCAAGAGCTTAGTTAGTTAGTTTATGCACAAGGCAAAAGAAATGCAGTTGCAAGTTGCAGGCGCATTTGTATAGTAACTTAACAATTTGTTTGGATAAGGAATTTCACAATTTCTAGGAAACTAAAATAAAAATTCGAATTACTTAAAATTAAATTGTTTCATTTTGAAATGCTCTATTTGGATAAAGAAATTCAAATTTATTGAATTTTAATTTTCTCGCTTAAATAAAATTTTCAATTACCATAAAATACAATAATTTGTTTTAATATTAAACTATATTTATTAATTCAAAAATATCAGCTAGTGATGTTTTTCAGTCAATGTTGGTCAAGGCTATATTTTTTCCCTGATCCACCAAGCTTTTTTACCTGTCGTCTATTAGGATTGTTTTTTTCAGCTAATAATGGTCAAGCCACAAGTATTTTAACTGTCATCTATTAGGATTTTTTTTTTACATTGTTGGTTAGGGTATTTTTTGACCTACTTTTCAACCAATGTCGGTCGAAAAATTCCCCTAATTGCATTTGCCAAAAGCTGTCCTAGTGAACATTAGTCAAAAGTTTCCCTGGTTGACATTAGAACAAAAATAATCCAAAATGGCCTTAATCCTTGCAGACATCAACAAAAGATTAAACCAAACAAATGTCCATCGAAAAAATACCTAGCTAATATCAGATAAAAAATAGTCCCATCAACATTCACTGAGAAACAATTTTAGCCTACATTGGCAAAAAAATAATCTCAACCAAAGTCCATCAAAAAATTATTCCTATTGGAGTCAACGAAGAAACCTTGATTTACATAATTTCAGAAATAGAACACTGATGTTGATAAAAAAACTTGGTTAACATTGACTAAAAAATAACTCTGCCAACATTGGCAATGAAAATCATGATTAATGTTTTCCGAGAAACTCCAACCTACATTGGCAAAAAATAACTTTAGTTGACGTCAGGCAAGAAACCAACCTCGACTAGCATTAACCAAAAACAACCCAAATTGACACCAACCAAAAAATCATGTCAACATCGACTAAAAAAAAAACTACTAATGTGGACCAAGAAAAGTTTAACTAATATCAACTGAGAAATAACAAAAAATAACCTCAACAATTTTACTAGAAAATATTCCCATCAACATCAGTCTAAGAAACGATGTGGAGTCAACAAAGCCTCGATTGAGGTTAGAGTAGACAACATCTCGGTTGTTACTAAGTTGACAACACCCATGTTGAGGCTAAGTTGAAGAGAATGTATAAAGAAAAGACAGTATGAAGAATTTCAAAATTTTTATTGTTTAGGTGAAATTTAAAATTTTATAATAAGTAATCAAATTACTCTCATAAATTTCTATCAAGACAACACATTTTGATAAAGCATTTCAAATTCTATTGAAATGAATTACCCTCTAAAAATTCTCCATCTCAACACATTATAATGGAACTCTAGGGAAGGAATTCTATTCAAATGCAAGTAATGTGATTCTTGAGGCCTATACAGATCTTGACTATGCAGTGTCAATTTTTTATAAAAGATCAACTACAGAGTATTGTACCTTTCTTGGACGAAATCTTGTTACTTGGAAAAATAAAAAGTAAAGTGTATTATATTCTATCCTTCTTCTTCTATTTATATCTAACTAACTCGTTTAACTAACTCATTTGGATTGTAACAATATACATACAAATTGTCAAAAAAATAAAAATTACTCAAAATTAATAACATTAAGAACTAAAAATTAAAAGACATAGGTATCACAACTCTTACATAAAACATACAAGTAAATACCAACAAAAGTCAAATACAAGTTTCCTAGACAGGAATTATCAATATCATCATCTTCTAAATCCAAGTTTTCTTTATTATTTTCAACTTTTTCACTCTTATTATCTATTTGGTCCATGGATATTACATTAAACTGCTCTATTGCAACAACCACAATAATTCACAGGGGTTACTCTACTTTGCTATAGTAGTGCTATAACACATACAACAAAAATAAAAACATTAATATTATTATTATTAATAACTCGTTAAGGTTCCAAAATAAAATCAATTGGTAATATGTACAATAATAACCTAATATGTATTTAAACCATAATACATTACGAGACAGGCGATATGGGACTTTCAACAAACTGCCTCTAACAAAGACTACCAAACTAGGCAAAGGATACTTTTAACCCACAACAAAAGAACAACTCTTGGCCCAAGACAACAACCCAACACACCCCCTCTAACACTAACTCTTGACCCAAGACAACAACTGAGATAGGCGATATGGGACTTCTAACACACCGCCTCTAACAAAGCCTACTAGACTAGGCAAAGGGTGTTTTTTAACCCACAACAAAAGGACAACTCTTGGCCCAAGATAACAAACCAACACACCCCCTCTAACAAAGCCTATAACTCCTGACCCAAGACAACAACTGAGACAGGCGATATGAGACTTCCAACACACCGCCTCTAACAAAGCCTACCAGACTAGGCAAAGGGTGCTTTTAACCCACAACAAAAGGACAATTCTTAGCCCAAGACAACAACCCAACACACCCCCTCTAACAAAGCCTACAACTCTTGACCCAAGACAACAACCGGAAAAAAGTTAAGTTTTGACTCTAACACTATGTTAAGGTTCCAACATAAAGCTAATCGGCAATATATAGAATAGCGTAGCAAGTATTTAAACCATACCACATAAGGAGGCGATGCGAGACTTCCAACAACAACATAAACAATAATTATCCTAGTTTGCCCATCCCATTTCCCACTTCTTGGAACATGGAGTTTTGTTGTAGCATTTTCTCCACCATGAAATCAATTGAGTATTGAAACTCCTACATTTCCAACATATCAATTCAATTGGACACTTTTGGTGGCACATTCTCTCGTACCAGCATGTTGATCCCTTAAATCCAAAGTCTCAACAAATTTGATTTGGCAAGTTGGAAAAAATGTTATGACAAGAAGAAAACTACTACGAGGGCGAAGGGCAGGCAACTCAGTATTATTGAATTATTCTCATAATAGACAAACATCTACTGGTTATACAGCAGTGATACAGAGAACCACCTTATGAATAGCTAAGGAAGCTACCCTCATAAAATAAGTCCTGGTCTCTTACAAAAAGAGTTTCTCAGTTTCCCAAAACAACTCAGTTTATCCACCAATTCCCATATAACTCAATAGATAGAAACAGAGGAACCAGCAGCACGCTGTAGCAGCCTTTGATCCTGCACTGGCATTGAACCAGATGAAGAAAGACAACTGATGCACTGGAGAAGACTGGCAACATCAAAAGAGATGGGAAATGCAAGCATGCAGAAGAGGGATGGTGGAGAACATGTTTTATTCATAGGGAAATGCCAAAAAATAGGGCTAGAAAAGCCCAGAGTGAATATTTGGGTTCCATCAATTTTTGGGTCCAACTTGGAGGATCACATGATCCCACCATTTATTTGTAAACCCAGCAATCCAAGATGACATCACCACATGTTCTAGAGCATGATCAAGATCTTTCAATCTATGAAGAATGGTATAATCACACAATCTTACAGCATATAATAAGATTGTATAAAACACAAAACTCAGTTTTCAGCAAGCACCCACCAAATAGGTCAAAAAAAGCAATGGATATTTAGCACAACTTGAAATATGGTTTCGCCAAAGATGCTGGTTAGATAATTCAATCTTTTAGTTACTACACTTATATATATAGAACCAAAACACCAAACCAAGCTTCATTTGCAATACCAGAGAACTAGAAAACCAAATTTCCATGCACTAAATGAAATCATTAAGTCCTAGTTTGGTAGGAGAAACTAGGATAGGAAATCAAAAGAAGGGACCAAGACTTTCCAAGTTCATAGGAGGTTGACAAGTATAAATAAGAAAAATTTAAAATATATAATAAACACGAAACACTTTTAAAACTGACTAAAATTCATGAGTTGCTACTCTAGTTCGCCAAAAACTAGTCTAAAAAGGAAAAGATACAGTCAAAAGAATTATGTAAAGAATAGGATTTCGGTTTGATACCTTTACATCAGCATAAATTTCAGGGAAAGATAAGCAACCTTCATTGAATAGTGTCAATTTCTTTGAGTATTTGCTAATCCTTGGGTTTACAAGAACAATTTCCTCTCCTTTACCACGCTCACCAACTGGATTGAACACCATAAGTTGAACATTAATTCCCACTTGGGGTGCTGAGAGACCAATACCATCAGTTCTGTGGAAAAGGAAGCTATTGTTAACATTTCAGCAAATTACAGATATGTTATTTGAATCACAATATTGATTATGTTAACATATCCATTAATATAACTTATTTATATTCAATTTAATTTAAAATATATTGCATGCCTAGTTCCAAATCAAACTGCCTTCTTCTAAGATCTAACTGAAGGGGTACATTAGACAAAAGTCCTAAAACAAAATACAGTGTTTGAAAAATATTTTCAGGATTAGAGTAAACTTTTATTTGGACTAGTTTGTCCTGTATTAAAAAAACAAAGTAGCTTATATAATTTGAAAGCCAAAATCTTCACCAGCGATGAAAAATTAAAAAAAAAATTACAAACTTTCCTTCTAAATAAAATAAATCCAAATTAGAGTAATACAGAAAATGTACTCAGAGAGAACTAATAAATGAAAATGAACCGAGGTGAGCCAGCCATGCTTGCCTTACAGCATAAACCCAGTTGATGCCACATTTTATTAATAATTCAATGAAAAAAAAAAAGTAACACTAGTTCAGCACAATTTCACTCATTAAGAAAACTTACTGGTACATCACATTAAACATTTCGTGGACAAGCTTCTTCAGACTATCATCAAAGGTAACTACCCGCTTATTTCTGGCCCTCAATTTCGGATCTGGATACTCCACAATTCTCAGAGGTGGCACAAATTCAAAATCATCAGCTTCAAAATAATAGAGAGATTAAGGCTTGAGAAAAAAAAAAATAGGTTCAATCAATGGAGTGTAGAACTCACGAGAAGCAAGTTGGTCTTTAGCAGGTGAGGTCTGCGCGCGTGTAGGAGCAGTTCCAGGAGAGCTTTTCATGAAGACCCGGTAAGGCAAAGAGGAAGGGTTGAAACAGCTGATGGAAATGGGAGTTAGAGCTGAACTGTGACGAAGAAGAGTAGGGTGACTTAGGCGTAGGCACATGAGTGAAGCCATGGGCACAAAGTAAGATGGGTCAGGTTCCAACAATGAGCAATCCAACACTTGGCATTTGACCAGAGCATATTGTGAGTTTCTCTTCTGCCTTTCTTTTGAATAATAAAATTATTATAAATATACTATAATTATATTAAAAGATATGTGATATTTTCTCTTATGATATTGTAATATAATATTTATAAAAATCGTAAAATGATTATATAACACTTTATTAAAATATATATAAAATAATAAAATATTTTGTAAAATATACATATTAAATATATTATAAATTTTGTATCAAAATTTATAAAGTATAATATATGTTAATTTTATAATAAATATTATAATATTAACTATAATATAAATATCATATTTAATATAAATTATATATTAATACTAAATTATATAATTACATGCAATATATATATATATATATATATATAATATAGTTATGTAAATTAATCATAAATATTTTAAAATATATTATCTAAAATAACTATATTTTAAATTATATATTATATTATATTATGTATAAAATTATATTAATGCCATAGTTATAAAATCAATATATCATAATTATTAATTTAAAATAAACAATGTTTTGTTTTAAAATTGTCCATTTTTTATTTTTAAAATTTGTCAATTAGCAGGAAATCAATATTTTAAAATGATTTTTAAAATTGTCCATTTTTTTAATTTTAAAAAAGAAATTTAATTTGTAGTTTAAAACTATATATTTTTTTCCTTTTAACATAAATCCAATCTCATTAAAATTATATTTTCCACTTATATTTCTAAATAAAAATTTAACAATTATTTGTATTAATAAATTAAGTCAAAAGTAAAATAAAACTTTTGGTGATAATTATAAGATTTTAAAAAAATTATTTACTGTGTTGCACATGGAGAACTAGGAAGAGAGGAAAAAAACATACATTTTTACTGTGTTATCAAGGTTACATCTAGTCTTTTATAATGTTATAATAATAAATAAAAACAAATAACAAGTTGTTATAGCGAAGATCCTGCGTTCATATTATTCATTATCCTTTGATTTTTTTTTTCAAACATAGAAGAAATTATAAAGATTTGTATATTAGAAAAGCAGAAAAAAACCGTTCATACACTCTCAGTCAATAATAGAAAGTTATATACTAGTATTTTTCTTTCACACGTAATCATTCAATTGTAAATTGATTTTTTTTTTAAGTATTGGGTCGTTGTGTCATGCGGATTATTTGACATGTGATCCTTACTTTCAATTTTCTCCTCTTTGTTCATTTATATTAATTACATTTTTTTATCGTTAAAATCAATCTTATTCCCAAGATTGAAATTAGAATCAACAAAGTTGGAGATTAGAAAAAATTGATTGATCTTTCTAAACAGCTTTCTTTTATACATTCATTTTGTTTTCATTGTACTAGGTATTATTAAACATGTTTATTTCCTCTAAAATAACTTGAGTAGAGAAGCAGAGCAATATAAGGATATGAAATACTATGTCAAAGTTTCAATAATGAAATATTAGATGAATTTTGGTAGACTCGGGAAGCAATAGTTTAAAAACAACCTCTTGAATTATTTTTTTTACTCGAGGAAATGATCTAAAATACCTTTCTCTTAAATTTTAAATTTTGTTATTTATAAATTTTTAACTTCACTAACACCTTATTAATCATCTTAAAGTCATTCTGAACTCTTTTATTTCATGTATTTTTCTTCGTTATCTCTTGAGTCCAATTAATATTATGCTTTAATTTCGATAAAATAACATTAGCAATAGTTATTATTAAATAATAGCAACAACCACTCCTTTGAGATCAATCGGATGTTTCATGAGTTAGAAAAATCTCGACCATACACCATCTTAAAAGCGGTTATATCGCTGACTGGATCTTGACCATTGATCTTGGGAGTCAAATAATATATTATTAATAAATAATAAATAAATATAAAAAGAAGAAAGAAGATGAAATGGTGAAAAGATAAAATTCTATATATATACTTAAATATATTAAATGATCATTAAGTTTGAGGGGAACAAAATCATAAATTATATGAGAGTTATAAAACTAAGGAGGGGCTGAGAGGATAAAATTGTAAATATACAAGTAAATATATTAAATATTCATTATGTTTGGGGGGGGTCATGGCCCCCCTCTACTCCCAAGAAGATCCGTCATTGTATACCAATGTTAGTTTGGTAGGAAATGTTATACCAAAATTTAGTCTAAAGTAAAAACTTAACCCATGCTTTTAGATTATTGAAGTTAAAACATCTTAAATATAACTTTAAACTTTTGTTCAAAGCCTCTAGTTAACCATCATTTCATTATGGATGGTAAGCAAATAGTAATAGTATAATTTAATTTGAATAGGTATTGTGCATTAGTCAATCCAAATAACATAACAAGGTACATAAAGACCCTAATGCATTCTGAAAATTGTTTGTGTCTATCCCCCTCCTTAACCAAGATTAGATGGTAACCTAACCTAATCTAAAGTCTAAATAAAAAAAACTTAGCTCCAAATAACTCATCAATGAGTTCATTTACATTAAAACCCAACTTTCAAAGGTCAATAATCAATACAAAACCTCCATGTTCCATTTATTTTACAAGAATTGTAGGTGCAGAAAATGGGGGTGACAATACCCTCTTTTAACATTTATACCATCATTTCAATCTATAATTTTTTATTACAAGGATAGTGGTATGATATGATCTTAACAAACCCAAAATTTGGTTTGTAAGGAAATAACATATTTTGAAATCTATTAGAAGGCAACCTAAGTGAACATCAATGACTTCCTTGTAAGTATTTAATAACAAGTGCAATTCTAGTTCCATGTTGGTAAGAAAGTTTAGTCATTGATCTAAGGGAGATATTGAGCTCCATTTGTAAGGAAAATAATAGTTATGGAGTGAGTTGGATGCATTATATGCAATTGATGAAATTGGGCCTTAATAGGTAATTGAAACAAAACACGAATAACACAAAACATCAATCCCTTAAATGAATTAAGAAATTGTTAAATGAATTAGTGACAATAAAGAAAAATTTTGGGATTTTCAATTTATAATAGAAATAATCAAAAGAAGAAATGGAAAGAAATAACAATAATTATGTACAATAATTTTTTTAACTAAAACTAACATATAAAATAACATTAATTGGTTCTTAGCAATGACCCCATTTTGATCATTTACATTTTGCTACCTAAATATGATCAAACATTTCTACACAATAAAAAAAGCATGTAATAACTAAGAAAAACCTAGATCGTATTCTAAAAGAGCATTAATGAATTATAATAAACTTAGTTTTCATTTATATAAGAGTTTAAAAAGTAGGATTTATATGATTTTGTGTGTAAAATCTAACTGAAAGCAATAAAACTAAAGATGTAATTAAAACAAGTATAAAAGACAATAAAATTCAGAAAAATCTAAAAAAAAAGGTAGGATTTATATGATTTTGTGTGTAAAATCTAATTGAAAGTAATAAAACTAATTAAAAATAGTATACAAGAAAATAAAATTCAAAAAATATATGAAAAATGGTGGTCAACTCTCAATGAATTATCACTGATTTATAGATCTAAATGTAACCATAAGATATATCCACAAGAATTCTAATAATTCATAATTCAATTGGCTAGATCTAGTTGATTCATCGCATTCAATTAATCTAGAAATACAAATCAACTTTTAAGATAAACAACCATGTCTACCTAAAAATTGGTTCATTATATAATTGATCAAAACAACTTAACAATCTCATTTACATTGATTTTAATAAATTATGAACAATTAAAATCTTGAAAAATTAAATCTTAACCAATTAAAACAAGATTTAAATTAGAAAATCAAATATTCTTTTTCTTCATTTAGAAAGTTTTGATAATGTATATTATGTTATTGTTTGATTCCTATTGTAATACATACTATACTTTCATTACAAGATAGTATTTTGAATTGTGACATTTAACATATATTTTTTTATGAGATTCTATTTATGTTTTACATTCTTATTTAATATATATATATATATATATATATATATATATATATTCTTGTACCATAAGATTCACTTGATAATGCACTTTTAAAATTATTTTGCATTTAATATTTAACTAGTTTGGTAGGAGACTATTAAATGATGACATGTTCATTAGCTTATTTTCCTTACACACTTAACACATATGTTAAATACTTCAAAACTTATATACACAAGAATGTTTAAGTTCTCAAGGCATGTAAAATGTAAAGAACCTACAATTTTTTGCTTCTAACGAAAATAATAAATTTCCTCTAGCACAAATGACAAATCATCATGTAGATTTATAGGTATCATCCTAGTTAAAAAAATTATCTTAATCTTATGTGGGGAAATATACAACAACAACCTAGCTTTCCACAATAAGAACCCTACCATCCACATTATCTATAGTAATCAATTTCACAACAATTCTCACTTCCCATGCAACAACCTACATCATTCATCCAACCATAACAAAACAATAACCAACAATAGTTTGGACAACCTCAAATAGTTGCATCCTTTAGTGTTGAACAACCATCCCTAGAGGTGAATGACCATGATCAATTGCCAACCAAAACCATTATGAATTCAAAGAATATAAGTTTAATGCAATGTTTTTAAAATAGGACTAGTCATCGAGCAGGTGAAGACATGGATTCAAGGTTTAAAGGTTCAACCAGTGTCCAACCGAATTTAATAAATAATATTTTTTATTATATAATAAAGTTACAATGAACATTACAAGTATAAAATGTACTAGAGAGTGAAAGATGGAGAATAAGTAAAATAACATGAAAACACAATAAAATAAATATTATTTAAAGTTGACATGACTAATGTGATATAAAGAAGGAAAAAAATCTAAAATTATTATATTTTTTATAAAAAAAGTTATATTTGAAAAAAAATTAAAATTTTGATCTTAAGCTGTTTTTTTTTTACCAAAACCGGTTCAACCCAAAACTCTAGCTGGTTTTTACGATTTTATACGGGTGTTGTACTAGTTTAATTAAAATTTGACTATTTGGAAGTAATAATCTGTTTACTATATTGATTTTCGGTTAGATCGATTAAATCGATCGGTCTGATTCAATTTTCGAAAGAATGGTTTCATGATACTATGGACAAAGAAGAGGATTAAAGAACATGTCCAATACCAACAATCTAATACTGATGTTTGTTGTCCTAGTATTCAAGAAAAATTACAAGTTCCAGTCTTTCAAACCAAAGGTTGTATGAAGAAAAGAAGGGATAGGAGTTGGTCAAATATTTTACTTCAAGTTTTTCAAAAAATTGAAGTGAACATCCCACTTTTGGAAACTATTAAGCAAATCCCAAAGTATGTTAAATTACTTAACGATCTATGTGTTCGTAAAAGAAGATTAAATGGAGATGAGAATATTGATTTAGAAAGAAATGGTTACTCTTTAATTACTACACATTATCCCACAATTCCAAAAACAATGAAAGGATATAGGGATATTTACCATTTCATGTGTCATAAGCAATAACAAATTTGATAATGTTATGTTGGACATAGGAGCTTTAATTAATGTGATGCTTTTGATTATGGATTTTTCTTTCTCTCTTTGTTCTTTTCATTTTAAAGGTTGTAGTGATTGAATTTGCTAATATAAGCATGATGCATCTAGTTGGTCTCATTGAAGATTTCATAGTTATAGTGAATAATTTTATATTTATAGTTGATTTTTATGTTAGAAACAATGACCAAGATCAAGAGGGGTGTAGACCCCAAATCTTGTCTGGCCTCAAAATAAAGAGCAGAAGACTTCCGTTCGAAGATGGATAAGGCCTTAAAGGTCCCTAGGATTGTTCAATAGGCTACATATTAGAATAGGAAGACTTTTTGTACGCAAAAATAATAAAATTCTACCCAAAAGACCGAGATCGCCGTCTCGTTTGGCGAGACAGCCGTCTCGCCATTTGCCAAAAGCGAGACTGCAGTCTCGTTTGACGAGACCACCGTCTCGCCATTTGTCAAAAGCGAGAATGTCGTCTCGTTTGGCGAGACCGCCGTCTCGCAATTTGCCAAAAACGAGACACCGGTCCCGACCTTATTAGGCGAGACGACTGTCCTAGTCTAACAGACACGAATTTCTATAAAATGGGGGTCCTCTCCTCGTTTTCCACAACTTCTCCAAATGAATATACCTTTCGATACTCTTCTAGAATCCCTCTAAAGCATTTCCGGAGTCCTAGGGTTCTTTTTAGACATTCTAGAGTCCTTTAGGAGAAGAGTGAGCAGTATTGTAGAGCGTGAGGTTTGTCAAAAAGCGCCATTTACAAGAACATATATAAAAGCTTGCTTCGAAGATTTTTACATCCCTTATTCTCTTTATTTTATTGCTTTTATTGCCCTCTCTGTGCATTAGATATTATGATCATGTAGTCAATTATTTAAATTTTGCAATGAATAAATAAGGGTAAAAGTATGATTTTAATGTTCTTATTTCTTTACAATAAACAGTCCATCATAGGGAACCCGAAAGGGGTGTCGTGGGAAAACTAATACCTTTCCCGCACGTAACTAACTCTCTTACCTAACTCTGGTTGTAATGACCAAAGTTGGTTTTTCTTAAAACCATCGCCTTCTTTTTTCCTTTTCCAATGTTTTTGGTAATAATATTGGTGGCGACTCCATAACTCACTTATGAAAACCTCACCCTTAGAATAGTTCGGTTATCGGACATCCTAAGGGTGATGACCACACTTTTTAAAAAACACGAGTCGAATCAAAAGATCATCGCGTCGCTTCAATCGCCTCTTTTGATGGCGACGACAGATGGCGACTCCACTAGGAAAGCTAGAGAGTTGATCCCATTTAGTGATAGACTAATTTAAGAAATAAAAACTTGAAATTACGCTTTTACCCTTTCTTGCTTTTATAACATGATTTATTGTTTGGCCTTAATAACTGTTGTATGCTTACTTTATACAATTATTTGAAATAAAAACTGTACACAAACCCTTGCACACAACAGTTCCCCCTATACTCGAGGGCAAGTGGGATAACCTTAGGGAGTGGGTGACATTGTACGATTTGTCGTAGTGAGGGCCATGAGTCCACCGGTATGGTCGAAAACCACCACTCAAGGTGATAACCTTCCTCTTTTGGCCTAAAGATCGATAAGGTCCTAGTGTCATGCATGGTCTAAAGGCTGGGAGAGTGGGGACCCTATAATGGGGGCACCTTAGGGGCCTGGCCTTGGTGAGGATATTTAGAACTACCTTGAATACGCACTCTTCTGCAGGATACCCCTACCTCGTGATAAAAATGTCATCTCACTATTCGCGGATGAGTGAATTGTTTGTGTATTTGTTTGCTGCATTTGTTTGTTGCATAACATAACCATACAACAACAAACAAACCAAGAACCTTTTCATAATAAACACCCTTATCTCGGACAATTCACATTTTAGCTAGCCTGGTTTCAGGTTTTTTGTAAGCTAAGTAGTCATGTGGACAGACAAAAGAGATAAGGGATTCTAAAATCATTCTTTCATAATAAACCATTTTTATCTTGGATAGTCTGCATTTTAGCTAGCCTGGTTTTAGGTTCTTTGTAAGCTCAGTAGTCACACAGTCCGACAGAAGAGATAAAAAGTTATAAAAACCAAATAAATCAAATAATCATAATAAGAGAAAATGGGATCCTGTTCATAAGCATCGAACTCATGAACATTCATATAGGTAGTTTCTCTTTCTTTTGAAAAAATGAAAACCTAAACACTGCATGCATCACGCAGAAAATAAAACATGATAACGTTTAGGAAAAACAAACACTTACATGCATGCCCACATCAACATCATACTCATAGTGTGCATTTTTGTTTCTAGAAAAATGGAGGGGTTCAGTAGACAACTAAAGAAAGTGGACATTCCCTGGTATCGTGTAGAGAAGATAGAACGGTTGTGTACATTGATGTCACCCGAGGTCCGCTCTGATTTCGAAAAATCTTATGGATGGATTCTTGATCTTCTGAAGATTTGTGTCGATCCCATTTTTGGAACTTTAGTCTACACTGCTTCGAATTTCCGTAATTTGATCTAGTACCGACTTTGGAGGAATATGAAATAATGTTGAGATAGCCCAAATCAGCCGAGATCCATATTCGTCACGAATCATATAT